CAACCCCACCCAATCCCATGTTGCCTCCTCACCGCAACCATGTCCCCTCTAATCTGAGCACACAAAAAAACCAGTAATAATCTTTAAATATCCTTTCATTTACACCCCCAAGGTTTTGCCTTTTGCCAAGAAAATGCCCCCATAGCACCTTCTGCCTGTGTTGTGTGTACTTGTTGTAAGTCTCTCCAACCATCTTTGCTGCTTCTACTTATTAGTTTCAGTGTTTTACTTGGTAATAAAAAAAGAGAAAAAAGATCCCATTTTTATTTTTCTGTGAGGTGTATCTTTCATGTTTGGACCAAACCCTAGATCTGTTTCCCTGTAGGTGAGATAAAGATTCCATCTTTTCTCTTACACACACACTTCTACTGTGTGTTCCTTCATCTTCTTGAATTTGTGTGGCCATCTTTTTTTATTTTATCATATACATGTATATAAGTATAACCTGCCATTTTTTTTCTGTGTTTTTTATTTTGTTCCCATTTTGCCCTTCTGTAGGAGCTGCTAAAATCTTGCCTCTTTAAGAATAAAAATTCAGTCTTTAAGTAATTTATTTGCATGTGTGTATTTATTTATTATGTTTACATGTTTGCTGAATCTAATCATGTTGATTGTGGATGCAGATTGCTTGGGAAGTAAAAGGAATACTATATATATTTATATATATATACTGAATTAATTTGGGTGTGGATTTAAGGGTGCCGAAAAAGAAAAAAAAAAAAGATGAGTGGGACGGCTTCAACATCGGTGGCGGTGGGGGTGGGGATGGGGGGCGGAGGGGAGATGGGGTACGGTGGTTATAAGCCACCGTTCACAGCGGTGCAGTGGCAGGAGCTGGAGCACCAAGCTATGATATATAAGTACCTGGTGGCTGGCCTGCCGGTACCGCCGGACCTTGTTATGCCCATTCGCCGGAGCTTTGATGCACTCTCCGCCCGTTTCTTCCACCACCCTTCGTGTAATCATCTCACTTTGTTTTTTGCTCTCATATGAATTCAGAAATTAACATGCTTATTTGCTTAAGTATTGGATGTGTTAGCTAGCTGTGTTAGGAAGTAGCTTTTTTTGTATGAAAATTACGACAGATTTCTTTCGGGACTCCTGTCTATGGTAGTTGGTTTTCCATTGGTTCTCGGAAGTTTTAAATCGATACAGGTGTTGGAATATTCCCTACAGAAAGTGCTTACATAAACATAGGTGATGTTTGCAAAAGCTTTTACATAAGCAGAAGTTAGTGATTATGTGTTAAGTTTTGGATCAGTGGTTATTTATGTAAGTTGGGTGTGTTTGCAAATACTATGAAAAATCAACTATAAGTAACCAAATAGAGAAGTCATAGTGTTTGCAATTTGCAAATAAGCTCTAATTTTTGGCTTATTTAGGTGAAATATCTAAATCGTCCTTGTAATTGGAATTTAAATTAGGAAGATAAGGGTTAAAAATGTCAAAATCTCTTTTTAGTTGGTTACATAAGTACTTTTAGATTAGAGAAGCAAAAGCTAGTGATGCAAACTCTAAAAAAGTGATTATGATCCAAAAAAAGCTCATAATCAGTTTCAAAAAGCTTCTGCAAACGCCACCTTAAATGCTTTTGTGGCTAAATCGTAACTTATACGATGATTCTATAGACGCTTTATGTCTTGAATCCGAAGATCGTCATACTAAAACCTTTTTTTTTTCTTTTTTTTTTTTTTTTCCCTTTCGAGCACTCATCTGATAAGAAATATACATTAATGCAGTGGGCTACTGTTCGTATTACGGAAAAAAATTCGACCCGGAGCCAGGAAGATGCCGAAGGACAGATGGCAAGAAGTGGAGGTGCTCGAAAGACGCGCATCCAGATTCGAAGTATTGCGAGCGGCACATGCACAGAGGTCGAAACCGTTCAAGAAAGCCTGTGGAATCACATTCATCTACTCCTTCTACTTCTTCACAGTCGTCACTATCGACTGCGATGATGTCACACCTATCTAGTGGTGGCAGCGGCGGTGGTGGTAGCAGCGGAATCTTCCAAGGCGGTGGGGGCCGCGGCGGCGGCGGAACCTTCCGGAGTGTTCCCGTGTATTCCGGTGTCGGTTCGGAAGGGTTGTCTTTTGGGAGCAGTGTTGCGAAGCTGCAGATGGAACCCATCTCGTACGGAATGGATGATAAGGAATTCAGGTACTTTCTTTGATTAAGCTGTCTTAATTAATAATTAATGGTGCTAATTACAAATGATAATACATGTTTTATTGTAAAACATGCACACGTTTAATTTTACGTTTTGGAACTCGATTGATGGCATAAATGTAGATATTTATTTGTGAAAAGCAAGAAATTAAAATAAATGTGAAATAAACAGGTACATGCACGGACTAACTCCCGATGCCGACGACAGTAGTTTCTCTCCGGAAGCTTCCGGAAGTCTCGGTTTGGGCTCTAATGCAGGAACAGCCGCCACCTGGCATCTCATGCCCTCTTCGAGCTCGTTATTGAAACAGAAATCAGATTCCCAATTATTGTTCGGCCATCAAAATAACTCTCACTCTTTCGAGTCCATTTCGCAGAGGCAGCAAGAGCAACAACAACAACATCCGGTTCATCCTTTCTTTAGCGAGTGGCCCACAACAAAGGAATCTTGGTCAACCCTCGAAGACCAAGATGGGTCCCACAAGAATATTCTCTTCTCGTCTACCCAACTTTCCATGTCGATTCCAAGGGCTTCTTTGGACTTCTCTGCGAGGAGTGCTTACTCGCCAAACGGTGAGTCGGAAATAGTTATCAATATTCTATTTTCTAAAATGAGTAAACTTTAGCAATTACTAAGGTTCTATCAATATTGTTGGTTTAACAAATCCAGACTCAAATATGGTCAAAATCACGTTTGGAGTTGAAACGGTAGTGGTATTAGTAAAACAGAAACTACATTTATCACATCCCCTGTTTTTATCGTAAATTTATTTTATCAGGAAAATTTAAATGTTTAGCACAAAAATAAGCTGAAAAGGAAAATTAGATTTTTTTAGGATGTTTGCAAACACCTCAGGTTTGAACAAATAAGCAATTTTCGAGCTTTACTCACAGGCATCAACTTTTACTTTTATAGCAGCTTTTGCAAAAATCACTTGACATTAATTAATGCTTCTTATTTGTTGATAAGCAGATGCTTGATGGAAGATGATTGGATCAATAAAAACCGATCCATATATCGCTGCGCTTGCTTTGATTGATGTCATATTTCGAGGACTTGTGTCGTTTGTATGAAATTAATGTACACCTAATAGTTGATGACTGAATTTGTTTTTTTTTTTTTTTTTTTTTGTTTTTTTTTTTTTTTTTTAATTTTGCTGTCATTGGCATTTAGCATTCTCCTACGTTGAACTCGGGTATGTAATGAAAAACATATGCATTAATAATAAAAGTCTCTGTCTCTCTTCTGTTCAAAGCTGTCGTCTGTAATAAAATGATGGAGTTTGTGAATATTCAGCTTTGATCTCTACTACGAATATGTGGTCTAATATTACGTGTATCGTGTATTGTTAGTTTTGATCACTTACGTACACACGAATGTGTGTTGTGTGTGATCAAACGGTAACGATGGTCAACGAAACCTAATCATAATCAGCACAACTTACACTGTAATATAGCATATATGCAATTACGAAGAAATCAGAAAACTTGAGTTTGAATTTGTCAATTTTTTCCTGCTTTTCTTGTACATAGTCTAGTTCAAGCTTCATCAATCGGTAGACGAGCAATTTCAGAATTCGACTGGCTATGGGGAATACATCCAAGTGTAGGGAAAAAAACAGTTTCAAATAAACCACAATTAACAGACAGATTCACATAAAATTCAATGAATTAAACACTTTTTCTTTTTCATCCACAAAAGTCAGATTCACTACAACACTTGCCTAAGGTTAAAGAAAACCCTTCACAAAATTTATTCGATCGTAACAAACTAGTACAGGTTCTTCAATCAAACCTCGGACAATCAGCCTCAATCCCCTCATTTCCAAGAAACGCAAAACAGGAAATCTTCGCCACCTGGCAAAACCAACAGATCAAATACGGCGCTTCTTTGGTCGACGGCATCCGTTATGCGGTTTCCTAGTAGTGTCCTCCACATACACAACAGGATTTGTATCTCCTCGTGAGTTAGTGTACCCATCTTTAAAGCTGAGAATCGCTTCCTTCTTTCTCCTGAAAAACGTAAACCCGTTCACTTTCACAACAACAGACTTCGTCTTCATTTGCCTCACTTTACGCCCAATATCTTCCGCAGCTGCTTCCCCAGCATACCGGCTAAGCTTACCTGCTTTCCCAGCCAATTTCCCAGCAGAAACCCCGATTTTCTTGTTCCCTTTCGAATCCGTAACAGTGACAAACGCATTATTACGCATCAGCTTTATGTGGACTATATCAGCATTCGACTCCACTGCTTCGTAATTACCGAAGTTCCCATTTCTTCTATCCTGTGAATATCCCTGGCCATAGTCTCTAAATCTAGGAGTGAACCCCCTGACTTGAGGCTGATATGATCGAGGTCCATCGTTTATACCGTCTTGGAGTAATTCCTGAACAACGTCTATAGACGAGTTACTTCCTGCTTCGAACTCGCCTTTTGTTCCGGAATGTATGGAACTTCTCAAGTTCAGAGCATACGGCAAAGAGGCATTCTCCGCCACTCTTACCAAACCTAGCTTCACACACAGATTTCCCAAAATCGAAGATTCAAAATGGGACTTCTTAGTCAACCCTGCGTTACAAGTACCGCAAAAGCACAACGAGTATTTAGTCTTTTTGAAGAAGGGCAGCTATATGATGCAAATTTCATGTTATCCAGGATGCTACAACTCCCCCAAGTTCTTGACTAATAATTCGATCATACATTATCATGCTCATTTGGAAAACGATAAAGGCTACAGTTGGATGTTAGTTACTCGTACGGCTGGGTTCAGAAATATCATTGCATGGAAAAGCTGATAAACTATAGCTATCATACATAAGATTGCACATATTGTTATAGAACGAGTTTCATCCAAGAATTTAGCTTCTAAAGACTCAGAATTAGAATAAAGCAGGGAATTAATTGTTTCCGAATCGACTGAGAACAAGGGAGGCAAGTTAAAGGTGATGAATTTTAAACCAAACTATTTATTAAAAACACAAAGCCCCACCACTACAATATCACCTACTTGGTTCTTTTTTTTTTCTTTTCCACCGGCACAAGTAATAATCAAACGACGACACAGACTGCCGATCTAAACAAACCATGTGCGAAAAAACGAGACGCCCAATCTTAATAGGAACCATCCCAGATTTGTGCCAATAAAACCAATCTGCAAACTACTTGATTTATTGTTCAAAATCTACATTTCACTTTGCATCTTCAATAAACTTTGCTCTTCAATCAATCACAACCCCAAAACGAATTACAATTACTTGCGCTTCACTAAATTTTCTTTTGCAATTTAGTAACACAGAGTACAAAAAATTAGCATCAAATATATAAATATATCTAAATTCACCAACAAACACAAACAATGTACTGAAAAGCATCGCAATTTGCAGTACATAAATTAGAAAACAACATTTGTCAGCACAGAAGAGTAACAAAACGAACAAAAAACAGAAGATTTTTTACTCGAAGAACAGAGCAGAAAAAAAAGAGATACAAACCAACCGGAAAAAGCTCGAGCGTTTTGGGGGAATTGGGAAAACGCATCGAAAGGGCGAGAGGATCCAGATCCATGTACCCGAGGAGCTAGCTTGTAAGACCCGACCCGTATAGTTGATTCGAGAAGAGATCTCCGGAACATCGTTTTCTGAGTTTCAGAGATTTGGTTTGAACCAGAGCGAGTGAGAGAGAGATTGATTGATTTATGGTTGAAGGTTTTTAGGGTTTATTATTTTTAGCATTTCCATTAATTTGTTATAGGGCGCACAACTATTTTGAATACTAACTTTTGCTTAGTTGAATACCAAAAAAATAGAAATTAAATAATTAATTGTAAATTACTTTAATACCCTTAATGAAAATTAAAACCAAATAATATTACAAATACTATTTTTCTTTCTTAAAAACCAAATAATCAAAAACCTAAAAAAACATTTCCCTCCTCACTCCCAAACCCCTCACCTCCTCCACCTCCTTCTTCTCCCTCCCCAAAAACCCTCCTAAAAAACCCCAAAACAAAAGAAATCAAAACCTTACACAACTTGCAAAATGGCCTCAAATGACAATAGAATGGTAGTTTACGAGCAAGGAGAACCCATTCAGGTATGTATTCATGTATTTTTTGAGCTAAAACATCGATTTTGAAATTTTTTTTTTTTTAAAGCTCGCCATGTATTTTCGACACATACAGGTCGAAAATACACCTATTTTTCGACATGTATGTGTCGAAAATACCCTTAGATTTCGACGCCCAAGTGTCGAATTATGATGCAATTTTCGACACTTAAGTGTCGAAAATTACCCAAAATTTCGACACTTAAGTGTCGAAAATGGCATCATAATTCGACACTTAGGTGTCGAAAATTACCCAAAATTTCGACGCTTAAGTGTCGAAAATTGCATCATAATTCGACACTTAAGTGTCGATTTGGTTCCTGTTGCAAATTTACTTGTCTTATATTTTCGACACTTTTGTGTAGATCGATTGCACCCATTCATTTACCACGTCAGAAAAATTCCCAACAAAAGAAGCTTTAATGGCATGGGTTCGTGAAGTATGTAAAAGAATTGGAATGGTGTTAATGATTGGGGGTTCGAGTGACGGGGATAGAGGACGTAGGACACCGTATGTGATTGTTCGTTGTGAGCGTGGGGGCCATTATGTTGGCAAGAAGGTACCAGGTGAAGATGATCAAAGACCGGGAAAAAGGAGCACCGGTTCAAAGAAATGCAATTGTCCGTTTAAATTGAAGGGGACAAGGGAACACAAGGATGATGAAAAGGCTGAGTGGAAATTGGATGTTAGTTGTGGTATTCACAACCACAACTTATTCGAAAACTTGCACGGACACTCTTATGCCGGAAGATTATCAAAGGAGGATGTTTCCTTTGTTCACACTATGAAGAAAGCAATGGTGAAACCAAGGGCAATTCTAAGAGCATTGAAGCAAAAGGACCCGTCTAATGTAACTGGTATGAAGACAGTTTACAATACCATCTCTAAGTTAAATTTCAGTGAATTAGATGGGAGATCTCAATTGCAATCATTGTTTGTCAAGTTGAAAGAAGATGATACCTCTCGTACCATAGATCGAACAGTGGCAAACCATTTGTCGGTCTCTTCCATCCACCCACGCTGCCGTCTGGCCAGGGCTTTTTTTGGGGCTTTTTTT